GATGAATATCAGGAATTTTAATGTACCCTAAGAAATGCCATCAATTTTAATGACAAGATGCCATAGATTTTAGTACATGGCCAGATTTCAGATATGTTAATATATGAGAAATTATTGAATTGGGGACAATGAAATTCTGTATTAGTAAGCATTAGGCAATTGAGAATGGGATAGAAATTCAACCCTCTCTCCATCACTTGCTCACTAATAAATACTCTGTACAAAGCACCCTGGCACCCAAGGTCCCACAGATGGAAGGATCTGACTTTGTAGATTAAGAATTACTAACAAGTAATTACAATTCAACTTCTCAGGGAAGTAATATGTACATTTAAAATCCATGCTCTTTGTCTCTCTATAACCTAATGCACAGAGCTGACCCTCAGTTTACTCTTACCAAACAGACATAAACTGGAGAGAAAATTCCTCATGCTTTATTATAGGCCAATTTATTTTTTATTGTGGTTATGGGCTGGTTTCTTTTATGGAACATTCTAGATGGTATTTGAAGAAAAAGCATCCCCATCTTGTGGCAAGGAAAACAAATTCTCTTTAACTTTTTGCTAAATTGCATGCTTCTTTCCAACTCCATGCTTCACACTGGCCCAGGCACTTCAATGAAAACTAGCTAAGCAAGTCAATTTATCACACAGGCAGCTTGTGGGCATCAAAGACAAGAATCTTAGGACTGAGGCATTAGGTGGTAGCAGGAGGGGAGAAATAATATCAAACCTGTAATGCTAAGATTAGTTAGCAGATGAGTCAGAGGTTGCTCAGTATGATATTTAAACTCTTATCCAGCAATCTCATACTCTGTTTTTGACACACCATATGCAAGTTCCTAATTAATACCAAAGAACTGCCTGGTTTGTTCAAGAGAATTCTGAGGGCATTCTCTGATTATGTGCTGTGCCTCTTTCCTCTTGCCTCTTTATATAATTTGACCCAGGAACATTAAACAGATCAAGAGAAGTAACAAGGTTGAAAACACAACACTTCTAATTGAGAATTTGTATGTGCTTAGCATCTTGCTGGTTTTAGTAGGTTTCTTTTGCGCCTGTTTTCCAAACACTAGAATTTTGATAATAGAACAACTTACCACCTTAACTAGGAAATTAGTCTCATCCCTGAAGGAATGCATGAACTTGGACTTGACATGCCTGGCTATGCTGGAGCTACTCCAACTGACAGGTGAACTCCTTCCTGTGTCTCTCTTTCTGAGTATGTTCATTAGCTCAAATCAGAGGCCTGAGTCAGTCGTGGCAGGCATATTAAGCTGCAAAACTGGTCGACTCCATGAACAGGGCCAATTGTTTTAAAAAGGTGTACCTATTTACTCATATCACTGCCACCAGAAGAAAGTGTTATAGTCTTTTCTGCCAAAATCATCTAAAAGCACATTCTGTTTAATATAGTATCTCTAAGATGCTTAAGGAAAACAAACCCTGGCCTCACAACAGCTATCTCATGGCCTCAGAATAGGAGTCCTGAGTGAACTGTTCTTTCCTTTCCAAATAACTTGGAGGCTATCCACCCTGAACTTGTAGCTCCAACCAGGGAAGAAAAACTGTTTCTATCTTTGGCATATTATATGAGAAGCTTTTTATTCATACAGTGGCTACTTTAAAATGTCTATCTCTCCTGGACCATGTCAATGACACTTACGATGTATTTTGGTTCTGCATTGCAATGACTTGTCCCCAATGACCCTTTGACCCTTTCCAGGCACTTTTGTGTGTGTGTGTGTGTGTGTGTGTGTGTGTGTGTGTGTGTGTGTGTGTGTGTGTTGTTGTTGTTGTTGCAGTTTTCCCCCTTGCATTGTATTGCTTTGACAACTGTAATTTGAATCAGATCTGAAAGAGGTCCAGAATAAAATATATTTTGATATTAAAAAAAAATTTGATATGGGGAATCTTCAATAAAAATGACCACTATGGTACAATCATTAAAACTAATAAAAACCTGATGACGAACAGAGTAAAAGGCAAACAAACGGAACAGGAAACCCAATGTCAAACCATTGAACTTGAGCTGGTAACGCAGCTCAGTGGTAGGTGCTGCCTTTGCAAGCCTGGCGACCTGAGTTTGATCCTTAGAGTCCAGCTGAAGGTGAAAGCAAAAAACTGATTCCCCTAACTTACACACACACACATACACACTGTGACACACCCACGTACTCCACACACTGTACACCCACATACAGTCATAACAACTAAATTTTTAAAATAAACCACTGGAATTAGAGGTAACTATTCTAATATGTCTGTAAGGGAAAGAATAAAGGACCAGTAGAAAAAAATACATAAACACACACACACACACACACACACACACACACACACACACACACACACACCACACACACATACTCTATGAATTTAATCCATAGAAAAAGCAAATGGCAAAAAAAAAAGAAAAAGCAAATGTCTAAGCTTTCCCCAAACTCTAATAGACATTTCCCAAATGCAGCGTTGAATGGTATAACAGAGGAAGATGCAACCATCCAAGCCACACAAACTTACTGACCTTTTCTTATCCATTATGTATATGTTGAAGACAATGACCCAATTTAAGGATCCCCAGTTATTAGTGCTTTGTTTATTCTTTTCTGCCATAACCAGCCTGGCTTCAGTTTGATTAATGCATAGTCTCAACTCTTGAAACTGTGCTCTAGAATTGATTAAAGAGGAAATATTGAGAAGAAAGAATGACAAGTTAGAAAGAAAAAGAAGAGAGACTCCATCATTGAGGTAATGTAGTTGTGTGTGTGTGTGTGTGTGTGTGTGTGTGTGTGTGTGTGTGTGTGTACATTCCCATGGTGACCATGTGGAGGACATCCTCTGTTTTCTGTCTTCAACTTCCACCTTGTTTGAGACCTGGTCTCTTTTGTTTTGCTGTTGCTTATGCCAGGCAAGCAGGCTCATAATCGCCAGTGGATTCTGTACATATCATTTCACCATAGAAATTACAGACATACACACCATGTCATCTGGTTTTATGTGAGTTCTGGATATTAAAACATGTTTTGTGTGGCAAGTACTTTGCTCACTTAGCCATTTCTCCAGCTCTTCCATAGAGGTTCCTCCAGGGAGTTATTCAACCAGTTATGAATAATAAATGTAATACAAATACTCAATACAATGAAGTCTTCTAATCATGCCCTACTTCAATTTATAGGTGTTAGTATATAGAGTCAGAATCAGTACTTGTTTGCAGGGATGAAGTGGTCCTGAAAGAAACTAAGTATTCATTTGAATACAGAGCAGAATCATAGATTGTTAGAGTCCAAGAGAAACTTAAGGACTGTCATGTATGCACAGTGGAGCTGCTTCTGCTCTGGATGACAAAATGTCATGTTTTCCATTTGACAGTTCTTAATGAAGAAGACTAAGGCCCTGTCCTCCAAACACTGAATGTTTTTTTCTCTTTAAGGTTAAACACTAATTTCCACTTGTTAACATCTGATGAAACTGGAAAGATGCACACAACACCCCAGATGGCATGATTTTGCACATTTTTATACATTATTTGATATTTATTGGGATTTGACAATGGACACAATAGTTTGACTTATTGGTCATAGTTTCAGCTATTTCATATGATAATAGATGTCTTAGGATACTAAAGTATAAGAATTTTACCAAGATTTGAAACTGTGCTGAATATAATTCAGCCGTTCTTTGATGTTTTCTGTAATTATATGCATACAAATGTTATATGAACTGAGCACAATTAAAGAAAAAGAGGCCATGAATTTAATTGATAGCCAGCGGGGTACATGGAAGAGGTTTGAGGAAGGAAAGAGAATAGGAAAACTTCTGTAATTATATTTACTTTAAAAAATATTTAAGAAATAAAATTAAAAATTTGTGTTTGAATGTGTATGTATGCATTTGTCTATGAGTGTGCTGGTGTGAACATGGGCATGTGTGTTCAATAGTACATTTGGTCATCAAAGGACAACCTGGGGTGTCTATCTTTTCCTTCCACCAAACTAACTTGACCCCAAGCTTCTAGGGATTCTCTAGTATCCACCTCCCATTTCCCATTAGGAGAACCAGGATTATCTTGTGCTGTGTGTTTAGCGTTTATGTGGGTTCCAGAGATTTGGACTCAGGTTCTCACGCTTACAAGCAAGTACTTTGGCTCATTGAGTCATCTTCTCATCCTCCAGTGCAAGTTTTATAGTTGCTTTTTCCTTTAATTTTGGTACAGCTACATGGAAGTACTAAGAAAACCAGTGATTTGGAAAATAAAATAAACCTTGCTAGTAACTAAAGGACCAGCCAGCACAATATCTTTTTAAAAATTATTGAGTGCTTACAAGTTTTCACCAAAAAGCACAAAATCCAGTAGCTTGGGGTCAGTAGATAAACTAGCAACCAAGGAGAACAGAAAATTCTTATTCTCATTAAATTGTCTCTTCTCAAAATATCAGTGATCAAAAACTGTGTATAATTAAAATTTAAAAGGTAGAAAGTGTTGGGGAAAGTATGACACCAAATAGCAAGACACCTTGGAAACCATTTTCCCTAGAATAAAATCGAGGTGTTGATGAGCCAACGCACACATTTTCAGTTTCAGTTTAGACAGCAAGGGAATCATTAGGTGTGGTTAGGACATATTTGCTTCCTTTGTTTCATCTGAGACCAGGCACGCCGGTGGAAGGAGAGCATTTGAGCAAACTGTGGTGTGCCGATGTGGTTTTTCTTTCCTTAACATGCACATGGTTTGTTTTCCCTGTCAAATTTTCATTCTTGAATCTTTGCTTAGACCTTTTTTCAACAACTAAAAGGATTTTCCAGACATTCAAACAAAGGTAATAAAAATATTTCCCAGAATTACCAGGTTGGTTTCCAAACCACAGAAAGCATCTTTACAACCAGTGGCCACAATTATGTTTTTAAAAACCTCATTTAATCAGACCCACAAAATTGCCTTTATCATTCAGGACTGACAAAAATCACCAGCTATGAAACATAAAGAGTAATCTGACCGACCTTCAGAGGAGAAATGTGAGACTGTAAGACATATCCGTGGACATTTTCTATTTGCGAGAGGTTCTTTTCCGATACATGCACCAGTTCTGGACCTCTTACTTCATGAGTTAGCCGAGGCAAGGAATGATCATGTGGACCGTCCTCATCTTGGTATCGATACTTCTAGGAGAAAAGAAAAGAGGGAAAAGATGCATCAGTGTTGGGAAGGGATTCAGATAGTTTGGATTTAGCAGGACATACTGCACAACTACTGTTGGCTTTGCTAAATGTTTGGCTGCAAACTCTTCCAGTGGTTACCATAAACCTGGTCAAATCTAAGTAAAACTGAAATAGTATTTCACTTTTTTTGTCATGACAATATACTCTATTTCTGAAATAAATAAAGAAAAACTGGTCACGAATAAGACTGAGAAAATTTACTTAAATAGAGAGGAGATATTCCTCCAAATAACATTTCAGTCATGGATGGAGAAAAAAGTAGAGAGCAAGAAATTATAACTCTGATATATCTTTATTCATACACTTAACTTTGCTGCTGGATCTGTCAAAAGTTTAAATTTCCTCTGATAATGAGGAGAAAAAAACACCACCCACAATATTTCTATAAGCTTGAAAGGGAAGATAATTGTTCTTTAGTTCAACCCTTGTGAAGAACATTGATTTGGGTCTGTTGCATTCTAGACAAAATATTACAATTTCTAGGAATTAAGCTAGTTTTTAAAGAACTTCCAAAGTCAAGCCAAGATGTTCAGATGATTCCTGGAGGCTAGGAGGAGAAACTTCCTTCTCTCTTGTTTTCCTTTAGCCCTTCATTAACTAGCCTTCTACATCCCCACAACAGCAAGAGAATCCTCTGGCAAAGGCCAGTGCTAAAGATTCCATGCAGATCTCAAAAAGCTGGCCTGGAGAGAAATGAGTCAGGACAAGAAACAATCTGAGGGAACTCAATCCTTCTTGTTGGATGTTCTCCACCTTCAGTCATGGTTTGAGTCTCCAGGGCCTGGGATTCAATCTCCTGATACCTTCCTGTTCTCTCCTTTAGAGCCATCCCTTTGGTGAAGCACACTGTTTCAAAGCCTTTGGCCATGTACGGAAAGGAAAGCCATCTCCCAACCCAGTTAGTCCATTGTTCTCTGGTCTTGATTGGTCTGTGTGTCCTATGCAAGGGCATTGGAATAGGGATCCAGACACTGTCATGAGTGCCTTCTCAAGTTTCACTTTACATCCAATCTGTTCCTGGTACCTCTTGGTTGTTAGAACACCAGGTCACTAAGAATATGTCTTCTTCTAAAGATATTTTCACTTAGTTTTGAGATAAAATAATATGCTATCTTGGACATCAGTTTTCAGTGAGACTCACAATATGACAATAACAAGAGCCACCTCAGGATGAATAATTCACATTGTCATCCATTTTCAGAAGCTGATTATCAGTACATGAATTTCTATGGAGTCTATGTAATGCCCAAAGCATTGTCAATCTCAAAGTAAAAAAAAACAACAACAAAAAAAGTGTAACAGTACCGTAACTGCAGTTGACAAAGGCTCTGAATTCTGCTTCCATTACACTCACTATTCTGTGATACTCCACTTTGCCTGTGACAAAACTAATATTTGTGGAGGTTAAGGTTACTTTTAAAGGTCATCATCTAGAGAGGGAATGAATATGGTACCTTGTCCAGGTAATGCAAACCCAAATCTTCTTTCTACTATCTATTGTCCACTGTCTATCCACATAAGGAGATGAGGCCAACTCTGATGATTCAACTGGGAGCCTAATAGAAAAGCACCACTCAGAATACACACCGAGATGAGGTTTGAACATCTCTGTAAACTGCAAATATCATGGTTCTGTCTTTTTAATGCTATGAATAATTTGAGGAAGCCATCTCCCCCAGAGGCATGGGCTAATATTTCGTATTTGTCTTAATCAGTTATGTTTGCACTGGGAGTAGATGAATGTCATGTCTATGCCTGTTTCCATTTCTTCAGTTTGGAGCAGATCCATCTCTACATCTGCTCCTCCTTTACAGTTCTTTCTCATGGAGGCACTAGCACAATCACCACAGCCAGAAGTAGGAGTTAGTTAGATACTATCTCCTCCTTCCCTTCCTACTATTGACCTGACTTATATCCTAAATACATTTTATAACTATTCCCCCATTGTTCTCCCAATTCCCAACACTAACCAGTATCAGCACCGACTATACATAGGTTCCTATCAGCTCTCTGTTGGCTACAGCACCAGCTTCCATATGAACTGCTTTGATGATGTCTTTCCCATCAGTTTCTATACTTCCCCAGGGGGCATTCTGAATTTCCAACATGGGGTGCTTAAAACGCCCCATGGTTGCCATTGCCTACAGGACAGAGTTCAAGTTTCCTTCTGAGATAAGCTGTTGTGAGCACCACTGCATGAGTGACTTCTGAATTCCTTTTCTCACCTAAGTAACTATAAACTACAGCAACATCGTAAATTGATTTAAAGTTTTCTAACTGTTGCCAAGTATACACAATATACATTTTTATCTTGACCATCTTTAAGAGGATATGGTGTGGCCAGGCATGGTGGTGGCATATCTCTAACACCAGTACTGGGGAGGCTGAAGCAAGAGAATTGTGAGTTTGAGGCAAGCCCAGGCTCCTGGCCATGGCCTACATAGCAAGACCCTGTCTCAAAATAGCCAAGTTGTATTGTTGAGGATGGTTTAACATGTTAGATTCTCCTTATATAACAGATGTCAACCTTTTCATCCTAAATATGTTTTCATAGCTCCTTGAGTTGCCATGTTATAATCCTTTATGCTGTAATGTGCATTTCCAATTTCCTACCAATCTGTGTTAATTTCAAAGTTTGAAATCAGTTTGGCAGTGATCAACCCCATATCTAAAGCTCTTTAGACAAGTACCTGTCATGTATTTTCAACAAGTGTTTGCTGAATGGAGTCATATACACCTTTTGGGGAAATGCAGGGAATGGGTAGGTTTTAGCTAGTTGAAATACAGAACTATTTTGGACTGCTGGATGTAACTTCTTTCATTATAAAGCATTACAAAACCAGGTTTAAAAAAAATCACAATGATATTATTTGCTCAACACATAACAATTCTTAAATACAGTGTGATCTCCTCATTATTCACTCCTGCATTTGCTCAGATGTAACTTCTTTCATTATAAAGCATTGCAAAATCTGGTTTAAAGAAAATCACAATGATATTGTTTGCTCAATACATAACAATTTTTAAATACAGTGTGCTCTCCTCATTATTCACTCCTGCATTTGCTCAGACTAGAAATTGAAAAAAAATGCAGTTTTGTAGTCAACAATGATGCAAGATTTTAATTGAGTTATACTTATGCACAATTAAACCACCATGCACAGTGATGATGACCGTATGTATAATCAAGTTCTATGGAAGCAAAAATGGGTCAGAATCAACTTTGCCTGAGGCTTCACAGTTTAAAATGGGATCTCAAATGTTGTTCAAAGAGAACGAATATTCTGTACAAAGTACAAAGACATAGAACAATCAGAATTTCAAGGCCAGCCTGAATGACAAAGTGACCTTGATATGAAGAAGAAAAGAAAACACATGTGTAGCAGGAATTTATCACAGTACATGGAAGTAAGAATGAGATTTTGGTGACTTGGGGAATATGGCATTGTCCCCCTATCCAAATCCATGGTAATATCTGTTCAAAGCTTATGTCTGCTCACTTCTTGGGAAGATATCACTTGTATGATGAAAAATTCCTCTCTCAGATGTGCCTAGGAGTTGCCTGAAAAACCAGCTCCTACATTAAGGATAAGCTCTACCTGTTGTGAAACGTACAGTTCCAAAGTACCCACCTAACAAGGGACATTAAACAATTCTGTTGGGGTCATACCCTGATAGGGTCAGCCTTCATGTTGTAGAAAATTCTGAGTCATCTTTCATTCTATGGATCCTTGGTTGGTTGCTAATGCTATTCAGGGCTCCTTTGAGGGGTGAGTAGTAGCAAAGAAGGGGAACTATTAGAAAAGGCCTGCATTTTAAAATCTATGCCTCACTCTTCTCAGCACCTTGCCTCTGTGTTGTCTATTAGAGAAGACTCTGCTTGGGGGGCGGGAGGGGAGAGAATCTTATTCTTTGGGTACAAACATTACTTCTTTCACCTTTCATGAGAGTAGAGGCAGGAGTAGTGCTACTGATGGGGGTACTATGGTACCATCTCTTCTATGCCAATTTCATTTGGAGCATTTTTTCTCTGTCTTTGGAACTCCTCCCTGTTTGTAAGCTTAAGTGTCCCTTCAACATTGGATTCCAGCAAATAAACTTTTTAGATCTGCAATAATCAGATTGGGTATTGCCTCACTGGAAGCATTCTGTGACTGTTAGGAATACCAAGAGATTCCCCTGCCTCTTGTATGTTCTTGGATATTCCCGTAACATTCTGCACTGATTCTAATCAGTGAATAACAACTGTATTGTCATTGTATATCTCTGTATTTACAGCTTTTGATTGCCTGGTGGAAACAGACTTATCTCTGACACTTCAGTGCCTACATGACATGAAGTGAGAAACCAGTATCTGTGAGTTTAATGAAATTAACTTTAAATTATCTGATCAATGCTATGATCCATCTGATCAAAAATCCCACCAAGCAGAACATACATGAAAATATCTTCATCTTTTTTATCTGCAACAGACTCTCATGTGAATGGATTAAAATTAAGAAGTCTTGCTTGAGCCTGTTTAGTACATTCTACTGATATTAAAGTATGAGTCAGAATCAACCAAAGTGCCCAGAATTTAGAGGAGCATCAGCATGCTTGATCCAGAACAGGAGGTTCTCTGGCAATTTGAAAGGTGGAGCTGTGCTGGCAAAGAACATCACAGTTCCTGAAGTTGGAAGTGTGCCAAGTTCTCATAAATAAAAATCTGTTTATCTTTTGTTAAACAAAAAGTACTCTACTCTCTCCTTCCTGCTTGCAGCAGGGGTTGGCACAAGACTGACAGGAGAGAGAGAGGGAGAGAGAGAGAGAGAGAGAGAGAGAGAGAGAGAGAGAGAGAGAGAGAGAGAGGAGAAAAGAACTATGAAATACAGAGATGGAAATGGAGGGGAGGAAGAGAAAGGGGGTGGTGAGCGGCATAAATCAAGAGCTGAGGAAAACCAGAA